TCATCGCCCTGATGACGGAGGCAGTATGACTACACAGCGCAATAACCCAGAAGACGGATATCTTCGAGATATTATGTCATTCCAAAATGCTGGTATATAGCTACGAGTCCATATGGCATCACAACGAGGCAGAACACTTGACATCTTCACTGCCATGAGAACCTAAAATTTCACATACCAGTTTGAGTTGAATAATTTGGTTTGATGATTTAATGTAGTTTTTTTAACATTTGGATGAATAAGTTAGGTGGTGGAAAAGAGAAAAAGCCCTCCTCTTTCCAGGAAGTGAATGCTGGTAATTCAACCCATAGCCTGTCACTTTACTAACTAAGCTATCCCGGGTAATGTCCAAAGCAATGAAAGAGTGAGAATTATCTTAACAAAACATAGCTACTGCGAACACTGGAATTTTTAAACTAGCAAATTTCACATTCACAACATAATCAAGTCTTCATTTGGTGATGTGATAAATGACAAGATTCAATGAAGTGTTGCAAATAAATGATTAGGCTTTGCCATGTCTATACTGAACGAAAGAATTATATTATTTTGAAACGTTTCTATTTCATAAGTTAATATATGTGTTTGTGTAATGAATAAATATATATAAGTAGTATATTTCATTTTTTCAGAAACCAAGGGGTTCTGATGGGTGTTTGGGGAAAGAAAACCACAGTCCTCCCAACAAATAATGTTCTTTCACTATACATTACAAACCACTGTGACATGAACATAGTTACAGCTGGTTGCACACTGATGCAAGAGTGTGAGACAGCAATACAGTTCACACCCTTGAAAACCCACCATGTTCCAAACCTTCCCTCACTCAGAGAATCACCACTATGTTGAAACCACCACCGAATGTATCCAGAATAATTGAACATTACAGCAAAAAGTTGATAAAATATCCCAACAGACTTGTCACGGCTTTCCCCTGCTGATCCTTATTTTAAATCTATTATTCCTTAATTATTTTATGAAGAAATGTTCTGGAATTATACACATACCATCGTGTATCATCATGAAGAGGTTTCTTCCATGTTTATTGTACAATCGACATCCTTCCTAACTTCAAGATTATAACATTGCAATATTTACCTCTCTGTTACGAATATCTGGCCAGCAGACAACATTCAGCTTTGCTTCCTCTAACAGTCACCAAGAAACATGGTGTACCTCCACATACCACATAACTGGAACCACAATAAAGTCACTCTGTATTTATCCATTGCACACTATTTCTGGAAAGGTCTTAGAACTTTAATGGTAAAATGATGCACTGGAATTTCTTTAGACCAGTGTTCTGCAACCTTTCTCCACTCTCAGAACAACCTAATTTGTCAAAAAGACTTTACAGCACACAGAATTCCACCTCACAGAAAGGAGTTATGTCAAATAAAACTTTTGATGACAAACCAGTGTGTATTACAAATTCTAATTATGAAAGAAAGGATGTTGCCTTTTTCTATGTCCATTGAAGCATTTTTATATTTGAATAAATATTTTGTATTTTTCTGTACAATACATCAGAGAATGTGGAGCATTTCAAGTACTTGGGAAGCATAGTCACGACGGACGCCCTATGCACCAAGGAAGTA